AGAAAAATTTATCATTATATTTATAATAATGATAATAATGTTTTTATCATTAGAGTCATTATATAAGTTAGCTCATATATAGTACTTTAAAAAAAATGAAGATTGATATGATAAAATAATCCAACATCAACATCAACATACCCAGTATATTTTCAAACAGGTTGGGGTCTGGGGGTCAGTTGTACGCAGACCTTACCCTTGTAATTATATAAGGAGACTGTTTCCATAGCGACCCAAGGTGCGTTGCGTCGTTTGATATATTTTTTTTAGAAACTTCACTAATAGAAGAAGCACTATAATTTAATTGAGCCATTTTGATCTAGTCCATTATTTGCACGATGCCAGAAGAATTGTCAACATTGACTCTTCCAGCTCCATTTGCAATGGACTCCATATGATAAAATAAAATAAAATAAAATAATTAATATCAGTTTTAAATTTTAGATGGTCATTGAGAGAGCACGAAGTTATTGCTAATTTAACAAAGTTTTTGTTTTATTAGCAATCAACTCTAAGTTAACCTATTAGTCAATTTATGATTAAACTACTATTTCTAATTTATAAACTAATAAGTCACACAAACATGCTCTTCTTATCTATATGTATATATGCTTGGTACTTACATCCCAAATTAAGATCAGTTTAATTACTAGCTAGCTATATATATATATATATATATTGAAAATATCTATTTTCACCTCGTTTTGAAGTCTTGTTAAGTTTTTCACACCGTCCAATAAAAAGTTAAGTTTTTCACCCTGGAAAGTGCGAAGGTTATGCGAAAACTGTCGCATATTCATCGCATAACTGTTCATATGCGAAGGTTATGCGAAAAACTGTCGCATATCAATTGCATAACTGTGCAAAAGTTATGCGAAAACTGTCCCATATCAATTGCATAACTGTGCAAAAGTTATGCGAAAACTGTCGCATATTCATCGCATAACTGTCTATATGCGAAGGTTATGCGAAAAATTGTCGCATAACTGTCGTATATCAATTGCATAACTGTGCGAAGTCATTGTGCGATGAATATACGACAGTTATGCAATTGATATGCGACAGTTTTTCGCATAACCTTCGCATACGGACAATTATGCGATGAATATGCTACAGTTTTCGCATAACCTTTGCATTTTCTGGGATGAAAAATTTAGCTTTTTATTAAACGGTGTGAAAAAAAACTTAATTTGTTTTTGTTATGGGTGAAAAAGATTTTCCCATATATATATATGAGAATGGATACAGTCCCGTTAACGAAATGATTCCGTCAGTGTTTTTAACCGTAGATTCCGCACAACGGGACTGTAAGTCATTCCTTATATATATATATATAAATAAATAAAAGTGGTCAAGATTAATATTGACTAGTCTAGGATTCCGATATGATGATGATGAGCTGGTTCACAGTTGTGGGGATTAGCGAAAATCTGAATGTGGCTTCACATGTTTAAGTACATCGATGAATATATATACTAATTTGTTTCTATCGATGAATATATATATATGCACAATTAATCTAACAAAAGATTGCATGCACTGTTATTAGTGGATATATGTTGAGCTGCTATACAGCCTATACTCATCGATTAAGATGATATGCACATAATTTAATTAGGTCCCCATAAAGTGACCCTAATCAGTTTAATTACCTGCCCAAACCATTATTAATTAAGAAAGAAAATTAAATTAGGTACTTCAAGATAATTAAAGACATAGAGATTTGAGCAACAGTACTGTCAAATTAAACTAAACACATGCTTTTTTTTTTTGTTTGTTTTTTTGTGTGTGTGCGCGTTTGTTGGTTCTATCTAAACTCAAATTTTAAAGAAGAAACGGCTAAATTTAATTTTGAATGTAGAAAAGTGGATATCATAGAGTGTGCAGTTTATGATATCCAAAATAAAGTTAATATGATTCTTGATTACTATATATGCAAAACCAAAAAATTATAATAATGTAAATAAAAAAAGTAACAAGAAAAGTTGAAAGCAAAACCAAAGTTCCAACATAGAAGCTTTGGGCCGTCAGACTTTTGGAAAATCCAAACTCCTAATTTTAATTCCTAATTTTATTTTATTATATTTTTTCCACTAATTTATAATTTGTTCACTTTTTTCTCTTAATATATACATATATATAGATTAAATTATAAAAATGATTACATTATGGGTTCTACTAGTTTTAATAAAATTTAAACTAGAAAAAAAAACAATGTACATTATAAAATATTTTAATGTATGTTATGATAAAATAAAATGTATGTTATTATTAGAATGCGTACAAAGTCATGTACCAAAGATTTCTTAATTTTATTTATTTTTTTATTATTTTGTAGGTTGTGACTAAAATTGTCAAGTAAAATGAGTTGTTCGTGAGCTCAACTTATTAAAATTTGAGTTTCATGTGGTTTGTCTGATAAACAAACAGAACTTGAGCTTGTTGAAAACTCGTTTAGTTTACGAGTGGGACTCGACTCAACTAATTGAAGAATTTTTATTTAATGTTTATATAGTTTGTGTCGTTGAGACTCGAGCACAATTGCCAACTCCTTGAGATAATGATTTGACTTGGGCTTAGCTCTGCTCTGAAGCCCGCGTTTAGTATCTTAACCCACATATATAAAAGCGCAAAGTAAACCGAAGGGCGTTTTCATATATAATGTCTCTTTTTTGTCTTTGTTCTTCTAACTAATTAGCTGCGTTGCTCATTTTCATCCATCCATGGAGGAAAATACGTTTGATCGTGTAAGTAGAAAATCTGTTATTTTCTTCATTCATGAATACTAATTTCTAAAATTTCTATTGCCAATTTGATCTTAAAGAGCTCGTCATTTTATACGGAACAGGATTTGGTTCGTGCAATTTTCAGGCTTGTTTGGGAGAGACGAGTTGCAGGTATACTCTCTCTCTCTCTCTCTAGTAATTAATTTTTTTTTTTTTTTTTTTTAATTTCTGATTTACATTTGCATAATTCATTTTCGCCTTGAGCTCGTTTCATTTCAGTCTTCTTTTTCTTCTATTTTTCTCGGGTGAAACAGAGCGAGACAAAAATCAACTGCCAGAACCTGAAGCTGAGGTGTAATTTCATTATGTTGTTAATGTTTCTGTTCAATTTCATAGTGTTTCAATAGGCTTGCTTGTTTTGATTCGTATTTTTATGTATATTTGTAAATATGTCATGAATGATTTTTGAGGTGTGTAAAAAATTCCTAAATTTGAAATGCTCATGTTGTATTTTTCTTGCAGTTAAGGACCCTTCTTTTGGTGTTATTGTCTAATCTAAATAATAATTAATCTTCAGGCTGGGCCGAGTACATCAAAGAGAAGCCGGCTTACGTCTGGTAAGGAATATGCCACGTTTTCTGTGGTGTCCAACATATTAACTACCCCGATGTGGTGATACCTTTTTTTTTTTTTAATACTGGTTCTACTATTGAGGGATACTCTAGATATAGTTATTTGGAATTTGTTTCTGTGAATATATCTGATTGACGAAATATGGAGTGGTGGTACTAATTGACGGGTGGTTCGTGTGGATGAGTTTGAAACTGTAGGCTTAAGTGAAGCCATTATTTTTACCATCTTTGATGAGTCAATCTTGTATCAAACTTGTTCTGGTGTAAATTTACGTTATGGGTCTTGAAAGGGACTGGGACTTGACGGAGATTATGTTTTAAAAGCACTTTCAAGATTAAACGGTTCTTCTTCTGATAGTTTTGCCAATGTGCTCTTAAAAAACATGGCCAAGACATTGCTTTTCTTCTGGTGGTTTTGGACTTCAACAGTTGTGCTTCCAAGTTAAGAATGAACTTGTTGGTACATTTTTCCTGAGGATTATATTCACCAAATGAACATCTCCCTCTCGAGAATGAAGTTTTTGGGGAAAAAAAAAAAAGCAAATGTAGAGCTGTATGTAATTTGTGGGATATCTAGATGTTTTTTGTTAAACTTCAGGAGTAGTTTGTGTGAGTAGCCCTATCGTTTAATTGCATTTGTGTTCCATAAAAAAATTGCAGCCAACGCAAATGCATTAAAGCTGAGCTGTGAGCTCCTCCGGCTTTTTGTGTCAGGTACTAAGGAACAACCCGCACGTCTTCCAGTTTCTTTTTTCAATAGGGAAAGGCCTTTTCTTGCCTTTATCACTGTTATTCTCAATATCACATATGGTTACTACAGTCGTTTCGTAAGTTATTTTTCTGTTTACTGTGTTGTAGAGGCTATTCAACGTGCTGCTACCATTGCTGAAGCTGAAGGCTCTCTTAAAATAGAAGCAACTCATCTTGAGAGGATTCTTCCTCAGCTGCTTCTAGATTTTTGAGGTACTTTCAGCCTATTATCATTAGATTCTCTCAGTCTCATTGTAATAACTATGTGTGGAGAACGCTTCTGATAATCATATCATTAGATTCTCGCAGTCTCATTGTAATAACTATTTGCGGATAACGCTTCTGATAATCATTCTTACTTCATTTGGCATCAAATGCATTTGCTCTCTCTCTCTCTCTCTCTCTCTCTCTATCTATCTCTCTCTCTCTCCTCTCTCTCTCCTCTCTCTCTCTCTCCCTCTCACTAAACTATGTTTCACCAAATTGAGTGACTAGTTTTTCTTGTAAATATAACTAAAAGTAGTTGTTCCTCTTCTAATCTAAATGTACTGCATTTCAACTTAGGGATGATTAGTTGAAAAGCTTGTAGGATCTGATCTGCAATTGTCTTATTTCTTTATGGCCTGAGTGAATCACCAAAGTATAGCATTGTTCCAGGCATAAAATATGCAATTTGATGCTGGAACTGGATCAAGATGACAGCATATAGGTGATGAGAGAGCTTGCAAAAGTATAGTGATTGCTGCACATTGGGAGATTCCTAACGACTTTTTACACCTATGTGAAACACATGAAATAACTTTGTTTTACTGGCTAGATACCTTGTTAAAAGACCTAATGCTTTTTCTTCAGGAGGTGGTATTAGCAATTTGACATTTTACTTTGGGCAACCATTCTGTTTTGGAATAGATCCTTTTTTTTTTTCGGCTGCCTTAGTACTGATGAATTTACATGAATATTGTGCCATCTGACTAGAATTTGATTCAATTTTAGTAGAACTGTATCCAAATTACATGGCGGGAACACAATAGCAACATTGAGATTACAAGATCCAACATACTTAGTTACTCACACTTGACATAACCAATATCTCCACATTAGTATTTGGACAACCCTACAAATCCTACCTCATAAAATGTATCCAAATTATTCCCATTTCCTCTCATAAACTAGTGCGTAATCTGAGCCAGCATGCATCTAGCGTCCTTACTGTTCGGCCTCTCTTTAGGATTCTCCAGCGTGCAGAAACACGCAACCTTGAGCACGAGAAGCATCTGCTCCTCATACCCATTCCCGAGCAGCTTGGGATCAATCGCCTGTTTCGGCTCCTCAGAAGCCATCACTTTCCTCATCCATTTCACCATACTCATCTCATCCGTGTGCTGGAAGAACTCGTCTGACGGCAGTTTCCCCACGACCAGTGCCCCCAACACTACCCCAAAGCTGTACACGTCACACTTGTCCGTGAACTTAAACGTCTGGTAATACTCCGGCGCTATGTACCCCACTGTACCTGCCACGTTTGACGAGGTCACGTGCGTGTGGGCATCCGGGACTGCCTTGGCCAGCCCGAAATCGGCGATACGGGCCTCCATCTCGTCGTCCAGGAGAACATTCCCGGGCTTCAAGTCGCGGTGGATGATCCGCGGGCTCTGGTTCATGTGAAGGTACTCGAGCCCGGAAGCCACACCAAGCGCGATTTTGTAACGGGCGGGCCAGTCGAGTGTCCGCCTTCCCTCAGCCACCTGCTGGAGGCAGTCCTGCAAGCTGCCGTTCTTCATGTACTCGTAAACCAGGAAGTGGGAGTCGGGCCGAGGAAGGTGGGCCAGGAGGGAGAGGAGGTTTTTGTGTCTGATCCGGCCCATCGTCTGTATCTCGGACTTTATCTGGCGCATTTTCTTGGTGAGAAGCTTGCTGTCTTCTGAGAGCTCACCGGCATCCCTAAGCGGCTGGATTATTTTCTTGATGGCGATTTCTTTCCCGTTGCTTCCCGGGAGAACGGCTTTGTAGACCTCCCCACACCCGCCTCGGCCAATGACGGGAAGGGATGATAGCCCGTTGTCATTTTCGAGGAAGGCCAGGTCTTCGCCTTTGATCAAAGGGCTGAAGATATTCAGTTTCATGTCCCTCTTACGCCTTCTGATAAGCAGGAGGAGCTTGAAAAACAGGCCGAACACCAGCCCAGAAATACCTCCGGCCAGGACTCCGGTCAGGAAACCGAGAATCGCCTGAACTATTTTCTTTTTATTCCTCTTGTGTCCCCTTTTGGGTGTTGATGTAGGAGGTGAAGCCCCAGCCCCACTGTTGGCTGACTGGCTTGGAGCAGGGGCCACGGCCGAGTAGGACTGGTTTCTCCTTCGGGGGTTCTCGGCAAACACATAGCGCGCGGGGAGCGGCTTGTTTTCAAGTATGCTGTTCGAGAGATTATCACTCTCGAGCAAAAAGTTCCCCGACACATCTATGAATCTCAAGTTACGGAAAGACCTTAGGGAAGCCGGTATTTTCCCAGAGAACAAGTTGTCGGCAAGGTTGAGCCTTTCCATGTTGGGAAAATGCTTCAGGAATTCCAGGTTCCCTGTGAACTTGTTTGATGACAGATCGAGGACTCGGAGGCGGATTAAGGACGATAGTCCGGGTGGGATTTTCCCGGAGAAAAGATTTTTCCCGAGGTTTAGTGTCACGAGCTTTTGGCAGTCGATGATTTGAGGTGGGATTTGGTTAGAGATTTGGTTGTTGTGCAGGGAAAGCTCTTTGAGCTCCGAGAGGTTGCCAATGGCGGGAGATAGTCTCCCTTTGAGGCGATGGGAGTCGAGAAGCAGGCGTGTTACTCTGAGATTATATGTATTGTTTGTGGTAAGCTGTCGTTGGCAGAATATTCCGGCAGTGCTGCAGAAGTTCCGGCTCACCGGAAAGTGGTGGATGGCAAAATCTGCGTGTATCCGCACAAGGGCATTATGGTCGGATGGGAGGAGATCGAGCCTCGAGCTCGAGCTCGAGCTCGAGCAAACGAGGAAAGCAAGTGTGGAGAGAAAGAGAAGGGAGAAGAGAGTGTTGGGCTTGGGATGAGATATTATTGGAGCCATATTCAGGTTCTTGAGTTGCAGGTAGTTGGAGTTGTGGTGGTTGTTTTTAAGGTTAGTAGCTATATAAAAACCGGAGTCATTGACTGTTGTGTTGTGTTGACTTGGAAGTGGCGTGTTTTTTTATTTATTTATTTTTTTTTTTAGTGAAGGCCCAAAGTTATGGGCCAATGCCGTGTGGAAAATTTGTTCATGGGACCAAATTTTGAAGATCTTGCCATTCGTTGACTGACTTCTAATAAGTGGACAATAATGTCTTATCTGATTTTCATTTTCTAACTAAAATTCTTGTTTAATAGTGTGTAGCACGTGTGGAAACAATATTAAATGATAATTATAAATAGAACTCGAGTTATCATCCTTAAAAGGGAGGAAGAAAAAAAGAATAACTATAAATTAAAGAGGAGTATAAATAATATTAAATAATAATTATAAATTAAAGATGTGGGGTCAAACAATGTAAAATTATCTTGTATAAGAGAATATAAAATTGTATGTTTAAAATAATAAAAACACCTAAATTATTATATTAATATATGTACAAGTATCCAAAATTTTCTATATTATTTTTTAAAGATGTGAAATCAGCTACAACTTTTCTAAATTATTTTTGTAAGAACATATCTAAAAATATTTAAAATTAACATATGTATCAAAGATATTATCTAAAATATTTTGTAAAGAAAACATATTTTGTAAAGAAAACATGTTTAAAAAATATTTAAATTTAACATCTATTATGTGGTTCAAATGAGAACCGAGTCCTAACGTGAGAACCGTAAGAACCTCTATTTTTAATGGTATGTAGTGTTATGATTGATTGTGTTTTAGTACTATATACATATTTGTTCGTTTTATTTTCTTCATTTGCGAAGAACTGCCAGTCACTCAAAGTCTTCATAGCTAATATGCTATTCTCTTTGTAACTTGACTTGGAAAACAAATTATAACATAATTCTTGGGTATCTGTAATGTAGGCACAAGATATATTGAATTTTGTTATTAATATAATGATGATGGTCTGAACCAAATTAAACGTTCATCCTTGTGATTAATAAATATACTTTCCAAACCTTGAACTGTGGGGAGATTGAGACTTCTTAAATATGTTCCCGTGAACTGTGGGAGATTGAAACTATATGGTCTCTTCTCTGACGTAGTTGGGTACGAGAATCCTTGCCTAAATAAAGTCATCTAGAAAGCCCAATAAGTTAGGGTTGGGCCTCATGGAGTTGGAGGATTAGCATGGACTTTTGTTGAGGCCTTTGATTTATGTGATGGATCATAATTGTTTCTCTTTTCTTAGTGCCAAGATAGTTGAATTGAACCCAGCCCATTTTTAAGCTCTGTTATGTCAGTCTTCTCATTGCCTAAAGGAATCTGCAAAGAGATTTCTAAGCTCTGTGCAAATTTTTGGTGGGGCACTGGCAGGGGCGTAGCCAGGATTTTTTCTACCCGGGATTGTTTAACATTGAGCTATTATTCGGATCAAACTATTCACGAACACAATTCATTTCGGCACGTGAAAGCTCGAACTGAACTATTTCATACACTTCAAAAGGATAAGCTCGAATACCTAATCAAAATTGTTTATAAATAATCACAAGTTCGAAGATGAGATATCCGACTTAGCTCGACTCGAATAACATCTTTAGCTAGATGCCAAGCATAAGAAACCAATGTATGAAAATAATTTTTTTCGATATTCACATGAATTACAAAGTTAAATGAATGACAATATATTTAAAAATCCAATTAATGTCAAAACTAAATTATTAAAATCCATATGTTGAATCGCAAAACAAATGTTCTATTGGAATTCTAGAAGAAACAAAATATATAAAATTAAAATATAAAATAATTGATATATTCCATATGTAATGTAATATAAATTACATGAATAACCAATATTATTTCAAATAACATAATTCAATATGATTCAACCAAAATAAAAAAGAAAACAATAAGAAGAAACACAAAATGTTAAACGATAAAGAAAGTATATAGACTTACATCATTCTTTTTTTTTTTCGAAACGAAAGAGGTAATATATTATAACTCAAAAGAAAAACATAACCAGATACAAACGGGGCCAACGGCCGAAAATAAAAAGAGAGAGGTCACGCTATAAAGCGGCCTAGATAACCCCCAGACGAGTATCACGTTAGCAACGCTAGAAAAGAAAACACACGACACACCACACGAACACAAACTACGAACGTTCCCAACAGGAGAATAGAAACGGCCCCCACGGGGCAATCAGAACCGAGGCCAACGGCCCAAACCTAAAACACAATCCTACCAACCAACACACCAAAAGACACAAAAAGAAAAAACAACAAAGCAACAAAACAATAACAAGGCCCTTCCTAAGCAATCAAACGAGTCGGAACAGCGGAGAAACAAAAGAATTCACGAAAGGTCCCAAGCCCGAGCCCGACCTCCGAAACTGCTGCCGAACGCCTATACAGAAGCCAAACCCGGACCTCGAACCTAACCCGAATCAATCCACCTCAACCGGGAGGACAAGAAGCCAACTCCCCTTGTCAGCCCCACAAAAGCTCGCCTAACACCACTAGCCGGCTCGGTAGTGCCAAAACCACCCCCACAGTTCCCAACACAAGAGAACCGGGAGGGAGAGAGTGACTCAGTCCCCCTCTCCAACAGCCACGACCCATGAGATCAAAACCGCCGGAGCCTCAGCCCACCCAAAGACCCTCAATCCACCCCACGCCCCGGAAACCGCCGGCATACCCATCAACAGTTCAGCAGACGACCAACCCCCACATCCCCAAAACGACCGACAGTCCAAACAGAGCCCACTCCGATAGATCCAACAGAAGTCAGAACCGAACCGACGAGCACCATCGAGGACCACCGGAGAGCCGAGAAACACCCCAACATCCCCACCATAAGCACAGCCGACCGCCGACAAATAAACCCTAAAATAAATCGAGGGTAATCCATCGTCAATCGAAGACTTACCGAAAGAGAAGTCGCCAATCGCCGACAAGCCGAAGATTCGTCGTCAGATTGGGGCTCACCGCCATCAAACCCGACCACCACCCTGGCCTGACCCTCAAAATCCAACAATCGCGGTGGAAACAACACAACGGAGGAGATAAGCGTCATAGGGTGGGCCGAGCAGTCAAAATGATCACTGGCCCGAACTCGCTGACGCCAAGGAAGGCAATCGGCGAGAAGATTGAAGAGCTCGGAAGATTTGGGGAAAAGGAACGATGAAGAGCGGCGGCGACTTACATCATTCTAAATATGCAAATTTTAGCATATACAAATTTAAATTTTATTGTCTCAATTGTTTAGTATTGCTTTCATCAAATAAGTTGTGTGCATAAATTCAAACTAAGTATAGTTCTAAATTTTTTCATCACAAATCAATTCCTATTAGCTTTTGATCATTACATAACATAAGTAATATCACTATTAAAGCAAACATTAATTAACAATCTTCTTAAAAAATTGTACAATAAAATTAGAATAAGCAATAATTTGTGTTTTTTTAATATAAAAGCTCAAACCTCTTCTACTTTTGAGATGAAAAATTATTAAATTAACGATTTTCTTCCTAAAAGCATATGAGCTAAATTGGGCTAATATTTAAATGGGGCTACAAATAAAATAAATAATACTAGACTAAACAAAAAAATAAAATAAAAAAAATTACATGGGGCTAGAGCCCACCCTAGTCCAAGGGTGGCTCCGCCCATGGGCACTGGGGAGATGCACACAGATGGTATTCACTGGAAAAGTTGGAGCTAGGTGACAACTCCTAAAGAGTGGGGAGGGCTGGGGTTCCCAGTTGTTCAACTCTTTAATGAATCCCTGGTTTTAAAGCAAATTTGGAGACTCTTAACCATGCCCAACTTGCTGGTGTCCAAGCTCTTGAAATCCAAGTATTTCCTTAATGGATCTGTGCTGGAGGCCCAAAAAACCCACAACTCCTCCTGGATGTGGAACTGTTGGGTGGCTATTAAAAACAAATACCAACACTGCTTCAGAAAAGATATCAAAGATGGGATCAATACCAGGATACTCAAAGACCCTTGGATTCAGGGACTTAAAAGTGGAACCCTTGTTTAAAAGACAACTTCATTTTGCAACCTGTGATGGTCTCTGAACTTTTGAATGAGGAAGGATGGAACTGGAATGTGGATCTCCTCAAGGAGCTATTTGATGATGTTGTGCTCTCTCATATTTTAAAGCTCAGATTGCTTGATCCATCTAAGAAAGATAGATGGACGTGGAGTGGAGATATGGCAGGCTTATTTTCAGTTAAGTCTGCATATTCTGCTTTTGTTAAAGACAAGCTGCTGATGCTTGATAGGGCTCAATGCAGTGGTTCTGCTGACAGAGATAAAAAGGCCAGGTCTCGCTGCTGGAAGTTGGACATCAAGGGCAAGATCAAGCACTTTGTCCGGAAATGCTTCTCTGGTTCCCTTCCTGTTGCAGATATCCTTAAGAACAGAGGTATTGATACTGATGAAATCTGCAAGTGCTGTGGAGAGGATAGGGAAACTGCAGCCCACACTTTGTTTCATTGCAACAGAGTCTCTAAGGTATGGAAATTATTAGCTCTGAACTGGGATTTTTGCAATCAGAAAGCAGGTTCTTTCAATGACTGGTGGTGGGGTATTTCTGAACTAAAGAAAACTAACATTTCAGAATCTCGTATCTAGCTTTCCACATCCATCCTTTGGTGGTTGTGGAAAGCTCGGAACTTATGGGTTTTTCGAAATGAATGGCTGCCGGAAAAGTTAATAGTGGATTGCGCTTGGCGGGAGTGGATGGAATTTAAACACAGGAAGCTCATTGTTGCTTGATAATTGGTTTAGCCGAGAGTTGTGTGTTGATTAGGTTCTTTATGTTCAGTTTTCAACCTCAACTTCTTGTTAGTTGTGTGTTAGTTCTTTTTAGATTATAGGTGTCGAGTGTTATGCATGCCTATAGTCTAAGTATTATGTTCATGGATTGAGGGCACTTCT